AAAAAAAAAAAAAAAGAAAAAAAAGAAAGAGAAAGAAGAAAGAAAGAAAGAAAGAAAGAAAAGATTTGAAGTCTTCTTCTAGCTACTTTGAAATATAAAACACATTATTGTTTACTTTTGAGGACCTTAAATTTATAGCCCCCAAATCCAGAGATTCTGTTTCTGAAGATAACATCCAAAATACAGAAAAAAAAAAATGCACAAAGATGTTCATCACAGCATTGTTTATAACAGAAATAAACTTGGAAACCATCTAATATTAGAAACAGAGCAGAGTGGTTAAATAAGCCACGGCCTATGATATCCGCCCTCTTAACAGAAGTCACAATGTTTACAAAGATCATGTAATATTGTGGGAAAACGGCAGAGTATATTTATTAAGTGGGAAAAAGTTATATTTGCAGGATGATTCATTCATCCATCTATCAATTCTGCAAATAAACATGTATGGAGGCCTTGGCTGTGCCAGGCAGGCCCTACACTGAAGAGCTGGGATGTCATGGCAGAAGCAGACCACAGACCAGCAGTTATTGCCTGCTGGAGTAGAGCGCTGATGGGGGTGGCGCTGATGGGGGTGGCCCTGCTGGGCCCTGGAGCACGAGAGCCAGGCAGCTTTTCAAAGGTGAGATGCCTTTGAAATGGTGGCATCAGAGAAGGTGGGGACAGCCTTTGCAGGGGGTGCATAGAAGAAATGGAATCTGAGGAGTGGAGCGTGACCAGATGGTCCTGGTGGGTGGGGCACTGTGCAGAGGCAGCCAGAGTCCAGCCAAAGCCATCAGACCTTCTAATCCAGCACCGGGGAGCCATGGAGGGTGAAGGAGGCAGCAATGGGATCGGATTGCCTCAGGAGCATCTCTCAGGAGTCACCTCGAGTTGCCTGTCCTCCCACATTGTGGCAAGACCACTCACCGTGACCCACATCCTTTGTAAGAGGAAGACCCCCCCCCCGCCCCCGCCCCAGGACCTATCAGGGCCTTCATCTCAGGAACCTTTCTGCCACCACATTCCTGGCCTGGGTGATCAAGATGGACGGAGTGTGGGCCCCTTCGGGGTGCCACGGTCACTGCTTCTGGCGTGTCCACATCCCCAGAGCCCAACAGCCCCTTCCCCTGGGACTACAATGGCTCGTGGGAAACCAAACATCCTCTGGCTCCGGCCCCCGCACCCCCGACAACAGGCTGACTTGATGGCTGTCCTAGGCCCCTCCCGCCTCCGCCCAGGCCCTGCGTCCTGGGAAGTAGAGTTGTACAATTAGGGGCCGGGGGCGAGACAGAGGATATCAAAGAGGCTGCTCACCCCCAATTCAAAGCACACACATCTGTGCAGAAGAGGGATCCCCATGGGTCCTGGGGGGCCCCACTGCTGTGACCCAGGGCAGGACCTGCTGCCCACAAATGCTCACCGGCTCCAAAAGGTGCCAGGTAGATAGAGATCAGATCATGCCACCAGCCCATGCACAGGACTCTGCCTCCCTTGTCCACATTCTTGTTGAGGCCTCACTGCAAGGGAAGGAGGAAGTGAGGCTCAGAGAAGGTGAGTAACTTGCCTATGGTCACACAGCAAGCGATGAGCAAAGTGGAGCTCCTCAGAGGTCTCCCACCAAGGAGGCCATGTGGTTGCTTCTAGAAATGCAGCAAACCAGCTCACAATGTTGTACAGCACCCGGAGCGGCCTCTGTCAGGCAACTGAGACTCCGTTGACCTTCTGCCACACAGGCTCACCAGCCTAATGACCCTCACTCCTGCTGACGCGCTGGCCCACGTCCTTGGCCACTAAAGGCCAGGGCCCAGATGCTCACCCTCATTCCTGGGCCTGCAGCAGTCGGCCTGATTTGTTCCCAATTCGGCCCGGGCCCACTGTACTCGTAACAGCGACCAGGAAATTCAGTGAATCCTAAAACTCACCGATGAAATACAAACCTCCAAGACACAGCTGGTGTTCTCATGGAAACGTTGTCTGCTTTGGAAAGATTCTGTGAAAATGAGTTACCAAAAAGTCATGCTGGCCAACTGGGATGGGTGGGACTACAGGAAAAGATGAGAGGAGAAATTCACAAGCGCGTCCAGATCCTGCTCCCAGGTTGTCTGTGAGCCTCTTAAAACGGCTTGCCCTGAACTACCAGGTTCACTTCCCTGTGGCTCATTGTACCCGAGTCTCTGCTATCTTTCTGGTTGATGTACATAACGTGATTCTCCATTTCTTGGCACCAGTGGCTAGTTTCAAGAAGAATTTTTGCCAGCGACTCATACCTCTGGTCGCCTGGGAGGTGCTTGCCGCAACCAGAAAGCTCTGCTTTTAACACAAAGCTGACTGAGCCCCCACCCAAGCCCAGCCGAGCCAGCCTTTTTAAAGCCCTGCTAGCTTGCAGCCTCTTGGATTCAGCCCCCAGGGCTGCTGCCTGGGGTTCCCTCAGCAAGGCTGCCCGTGTCTCCTCCAGGCCTTTGCCCATGCTGTGCTTCCTGCCCGGAAGCACTCTGACTGCTCAAGCCCAGCTCTAGGTCGACCAGATGTCACTTCTTGGAGGACACCTCCCTGGCCCTTAGACTAGGTCAGTGGCTACTGGCCTCCATCAGACTCTACCTGTAGAACCCTCTCTTCCTCTTCCGTAATCCTCACCCTACAGGTAATTCCTAGCTCTTTGTCTGCTTCTCCCCTGGGATGTCAGCTTCCCCACGGTGCGCATGGTGGCATATCTGCTGTGTCCGCAATGCCTGGAGCCAAACGTGCACCCACAGAAGTGCAGCCAACATTTGTTGAATGACTCGCCAGGATTTAAAGTGGGCAAGGGACTCCCTAGACACTAGGCCTGATGCCATCACGGGGTCAGTAAGAGGGAGGCGATGCAGTCTCGAGCTCACAGCCCCAGAGTGGCTTTGCAGGGGGGGCGCCCCCACGCGAGGCTGGCTCCTAGGCCTCGTACACCCACTAGGCTTCTGCTCCTATCGCTCTGGAGGGTTCACAGCTGCTACGTATTGTTGCCCTGATGCTGGGGCCCAGCTGAGGCACTGAGGAGCACTTGTCCAGAGATTGGCTTCCCAAGGTGGGAACGTGGAGGAGGCAGTCCAGAGCCAGGCGTAAGACACACACACCCGAGTCACTTGGCAGTTTGCTGTCTTTGGAGCATGGTGCCATCTCTTTAGTAGAATTTGAAGTGGCATTGCTTTATCCGTGGGAGCCCTTTCTGCTTGCTTTTTTTTTTTTTTTTTTTACGGAATCTTACTCTGTTGCCCACGCTGACAGGCAGCACTGTCATCTCGGCTCACAGCAACCTCTGCCTCTGGGGTTCAAGTGATTCTCGTGCCTCAGCCTCCCAAATAACTAGGACCACAGGCGCATGCCACTATGCTCAGCTAATTCTTGTATGTTTAACAGAGACAGGGTTTCACTATGTTGGTCAGGCTGGTCTCGAACTCCTGACTTCAAGTGATCCACCCACCTTGGCCTCCCAAAGCACTGGGATGACAGACGTGAGCCACCACACCTGGCTCTGCTTGCTTTTTTTAAAAAAAAAAGTTTCCTCCAGGAGTGTGGCGACTCACGCCTGTCATCCTAGCACTTTGGGAGGCTGAGGCTGGCGGATCACCTGAGGTCAGGAATTCGAGACCAGCTTGGCTAACGTGGTGAAGCCTCATTTCTACTAAAAATACAAAAAATTAGCTGGGCATGGTGGCGCGCGCCTGTAATCCCAGCTACTTAGGGAGGCTGAGGCAGGAGAATCGCTTGAACCTGGGAGGCGGAGGTTGCAGTGAGCAGAGATCCCGCCACTGCACTCCAGCCTGGGCAAAAAGATTGAAAATCCGTCTCAAAAAAATAAATAAATAAAAAGTTTACTCAGTTATTTTGTGTATATTCTATTAAAGGCCCCCCTCCCCTCAAAATTTAGGTGAGCAAAGCCAGCAGCATCTGGGCCTGGAAATCAAGGGGAGGCGAATTCATTTATCTGGGAGCTGCAGCCTCCCAGGGAATTTGACTGCAGTGAGGGGCTCCTGGGCTCCCACATTTCCAAGCAGTCTCCATGGAGTGACTCACCGGGGGGCCAGGGGACCGGTCACTGCTCCTCATTCAGCTGGGCACTCTCAGCACCTCCTGAGACCAGCCCTGTGATTTCATGGAAAACGTAAGCACGTCTGCGGAACTGAGAAGCCGCAGGCACCTCGGAGGGCCAGCCACGTTTTATTTTGGTGTTTGCCCGTCGGAATTTCAGCTGAGCCCTCCTCGAAGCTGCA